TTTTGTGAAAGAAATAATACAAAAATTATCCTTTTTTTACATTTTCTCTTTACATTATTATTATTATTTTTCTTATACCAAACAGAAATTTTTAATTCATTCCACGGCCACTATAGAAAATTATGGAATTCATTTCTGGAGAATATAAATATTTCTAAAATAAAAAATGCATGTTTACGAACTCCTTACAGTTTTCCTACCTATAATCCCCCGTTTTTCAGGAACAGAATTATCAAAAGTAAGAAGAAACAAAAGAAAGAATTATCAAAATGAGTTTACGGGGTTTTTCTACGCGCTACTTCCGAAACTCGCGAAAATGCCTCATTGCGCCATCGGACGTCACGTGATTGTACTATCGACCATTACCGACGCAACTTCACCCCTCTTGAACTCCGCCGGGCTCGTCGGCACGGCACATCTCGGCCGCGTTCAGCTCGGTTTGTCTCAGCTCAGCTCAGCTCAGCTCGGCTCGGCTCAGCGGAGCTTGAGGCGTATCGAAGATGGCGACCGGAGGGTAGGGTCGGGCCGGAGACGCGCACTGCATCGCAACCTCTTCTCCGGTCGAGACGGTCGTGGAGCATCGGGGCGAGCCACCCGTTCGGGCCGAGTCCGGTGAGTGATCGAATCGCCATGGGCGATTTTTTTCGAATATCACGTGTGTGCGCCTCGCACCTGTCGACGGCGGCGGCGGCCGCGGGTAACTAACTATCGGCGGGCGGCGCGCCAACGAAATCTCGCGCGATCCCCTTCGTGGCTTTCGGTAAGTTCAATGCGCACAGATCCATGTCATGGCGAGAAACGAGAGCGACGTGCGTCGTGCGTGCGTGTGCGTGTGTGTGTGTGTGTGTGCGTGCGTGTGTACGTGGTGCGTGCGCGCGCGCGCGTGTGTGTCGCACGCGACGCGTACGACGTGACGTAACGCATACACGCGTATATGCGTCGTACACGCTAGAAAAGCCCTGATCTGTATGGGAGAGGAAGAAGATTAGATTGTTTGCGAATTGTGCAGCGAGGAGCAGAGTCGAAAACGAGTCGAGAAGAAAGAATCGAATTAATTGTGATTAATCGTATTAATTGTGAAGATTTAAAGGCTAGGGAACTTCCGCCGATAACGATCGCCGAAGTGTTCGTTTTAGGGTTGGGCTTTGTGTCTTATAAGTCATTGTGTTACAATTTATACTTCGAGATAAATACTGAGAGAAGTGACTTAAGGATTGATCAATCTCAATTGAATACAATGAAACATGAAAACACAACATTTTAAACTTCTAATATGCATTTGAATTGTTTTAAAATTATATAGAGATAGAGCAGAGATTCTAGGTGCGATTTAAAATATTTTTGATGATTGTTAATAGTAATATAAAAACTATTCATATATTCGCGAAAAAACATTCTGATTAAAAATGGACAAATCAAAAATACTGATTAAAATTAGCAGATTTCTGTTTAAATCAATCAGAAGTTTGTTGGATTAACAAGAAGTCTTATTTTAAATTTGGATAATTACAACGGGAATTTTTGATTTGTTTATGTTAAAATAGAATTTTGACATAACTATTTTTCCCGTATAATTTTGCTAAAAATAAAAATTTCAGATGTGACTACCCTAATTTTTAATTTAGAAACAATGGTAATCATAAATTTATTATTTATGTAAATAAAATAAATTTAAAAAAATAATTGATGTAAAAAAATTTTGTCACTTTTTTTTACTTTTATTTACTCCTGGAATCTTACAATAACTTAGATTAATTAACCGATTAATATCTTTACAATAAAACAGAAAGTACATGTTTTCTTTTTGCTAATTTATTTTTATAATTTTCAGTAAACGATTTGATATTTATAAAAATCAGTCGTTATTTTTTAATAATTTTTACAATCTTCCATGAATATCTTCTATGAATAAGAACCTATAAGTAATAATGATAACGATAATAATGATAATAACCTTCATAGAACTGAACGTTGAAATTGAATCTGTATATTTGCACATTCAAATTTATTTTCTGAATTAATTTTCTGAATTGATATGTCATAATGTTTATTTTATAATTCAATACAATCTCGGTTATTGCTATATTGTTATGAATGTTGAAAGAATTGAGGATCACGCTACCTGTCTATTTTACTTTGCACATAAATAATTATGTTTAAACGAATAAATATATTTTCATTGTTAAATACCCCAACAAATAAATTGGATATTAAACACATTACAATTTTTGGAAATTTCGCAAGGAATCTGAATCACGAGTTTGGCGAGTTGCATCTTGAATGCGATGCAACTCGTTATTTTTTTGTTAACGAGGCATCATCCGGTGCTTTATATTTCTCGTTAGCCGTTATTACACTCTGCTCCTCAGGTTGCGCCACTTTTCCCCGTAAGCGCCACGCCGCCGTCCGTCGCACATCGTCAGCGATGGTGACAAAAATTGATCGGCGCGGTTAACAGATCGGGTCACGTAAACGCGCGGGCTTTCAATCGCGATGTAAATGCCCTCCGCGATCAATGCCTCGTGTGTACTCGTGGATACAAGGTGTATCCCGTCGGTCAACCGTGTAAAATTTTAATAAACCTTTTACGGGTTCGCACGCTCCGTTTCCCCGCGATGGAAACTTTGGAAAGAAGTTCGTCCACGAGACACTTGAGATCTAAGAATATTGTTGAAAAGAACCGTCGCGAATTAACGTGTGTAATCGGTTGTAATAAGCAAAAAATTATCGCATTACAGCATTTAAAAAGAAAGACATATATATTTCGTCGTTACTTACATCGTTTAGAATATTAAATAAATAGATTTAGGTTATAAAGAAGTTAATATAAATATAAATAAAATAATATGGTATTTAATATTTTCGTGAAAAGAATATTAACAAAAAATTGTTTCTCAGGTAATTTTAAGTACCGTAAGGAAGATTTCTACACTTTAATTATATTTAATACTTACTTTTATAATACTTTTTTTTAAACTTTGTAATATGAATAGATCAAGAGGCTGCTATTATATTCTTATCGCCTTTAGAGATATATCTTTCTATTAATTTTAAAAAAAAGTCTGCGAAATTTCGATATCATCCTAATTTTATTTCTTCTTATATAATAAATTCTTAAAGCAAGAAATAAT